TTGGGGGAAAATATCAGGTTAGATCAACAGCAATCTCATTATCACATGGCCTTAATGAAAAATTGATTCTCAGAATGCTATTCTAAAAGAGCACAAGGTATTTGGAGCATTCACTTACCAAGCCAGGGGCCCCAGAAACCTCTTAAAATCTAGTATCATTCTTTACACTCAGTTAATGCTAACTCAGTGGTAGACAATCTGTTTCAGATGTTAGATGTTTTTCAGCTTCAATTGCTTATCTCTCATTAAGAATGTGGAGATCTGTCAGTCAGAATAGACAATATTGGGTTGACGGGCTAATAGTCTGAATTGGTTAAAAGCAACTTTCTGTGCTCTTACAGTTTTCCAGTCATAGATCAACTCATAAAGCATACAGTGCATTTATCAAGGCTTTATATCAGCTATGGCACTTAAGTGTTTCTTCCTGTTCTGCTTTCCTAAAGCAAACTCAAGGTTACATTAGTAGATTTTTTATTCAGAATTAAGAAACCATATATATAAGTTTTGTTCTAACAACATGTACTAATCTTACCCTCCATGTTAGTCCCAAAGTTTCAATCCCTCCTGCCATTCTTGATTTACAAAATGGCTTTCTCTGGTGTGGCTGTGAAATGAGAATTGGAGGGTCCTGCTTCACCAGTTTCAATCCCCTTGAAATTAATTGAGTCTCATTAAATGTTAAATAGTTAGAGATGATGCTGTTATTAAAAAAAAAACCCTTTCCATTGCTGGCTCTTCTATGAGCATTCATTTGAATACTGACAGCTAGTTATGCCACGCTAGAAGTCATAATAGCCTTACTTCAGTCAGTGACTTGTGGAGGAGTGAGTGAGTGTGTCTGTCTGTCTGTCTGTACTACAGGTATTGTACATTCCTCAGAGTTCATGCCAAAATGAGATGGTAATTGAAAGGGAGGGGCCTTGTTAACCACTTTTCATGAAAGGATTGTTTGTTTCCTTTCAGTGAACTTGCAACAGGCTGTCTTCCAGGCTGACCTTTTCCTGCTGTTGTAATCTGATGGGAAATGCTGGTTCCCAGAGGCATCATATGCAAAGTAGATATAAAATACACCTACTCTATGAAGATCAATGTTGCAATAGCCACTGGTTAACATAGAGTTGGTTTAATGTCGTTCCCATAGCTCTGACCATTTTCAGGCTATCTCAGGTGGAAGCCACCTACTAGAATAATGAATTATGTTACTAGGTTTTAAAATATATTAACTCACATACAAACTTTTATGAGTATAAATGACATTTACATTTGCAGCATCTACTGTCACGCTTAGCTAGCAGAACTCTGACACTTAACATGGAGTATTAAACATGCCTCTATGTCCAGCAGCTCTGTTGTCATGGCACAATTGCAACACTTCTTCTTTTAAAGGAGGGGATCTTATAAATGGCCATTGTGAAACAGATTGCCAACATTTAAGATAAAAGTTGAAGAATCAGTCTGTGAGGTCCCTGCAGGTTATCCATACAAACGCTGACATATGCAACTGTTAATGTTGCACTCTAATCTGGTCTACAATCTGTCTCCCTGTTCCAGATCTCTCTAACCCCAGAGAAAGGCCAAGTATTGTGGAAGAGAAATTGAGTAAGGAATGTCATATTCAGGTTTCCGTGATTAAACATCTGGAAGCTTTTTATGTGAGCCAGGAGTACATATATGTGTGAAAAATGAGAGAAAAATTGTGCCCATTTGACTTGCCAGGGTATGAGAGATTATGTTTTTTGAAGAACTTCCAAATTCCGCATGTATCTATGGATAGCTGTATAGGGTAGACTGTGCATCCTTCTTGGAAGCGCCTCAGTTACTGGATTGTTGGCTTTTCTGAAAGCATTTTTTTGTTTTAGATTTTTTTTTCATATACAACACAAAGCAGTGAACATACCAATATTCCTCCCTCCTATTTTCCCCATTACGTCCCTGCTAGGAATATAAGTCACCTAACAGGTATTTGGGTTAGAAATATATAAACCAGGATAAACATTTTAGTACTATATCTTTAAGGGAATGCAAGAGCATGCAATTGGGTGTGGTTTCTCAAACGGACATAAGATGGAGCCAGAAACCTGGTTTGTTTAGTCTTAGTCTCAGAAGAGAGAGTCTGAGTGTTGGAAAGTATTGCTGTTCCTCCATTTCTTCTAATTGACTGATATTACTGGATTTAATGTAAGTCTTACTGAACTGATTTTTGACACTGGACTTTGATATTTGGATTATCCCTGGATTGAAACCTGACTGATTTAACTTGTGAATGACTTTGGATTGCTTATTTTGGACTTTGCTTAAAACTTTCTGGAAGTAAAAACCTACATTTACTGTACAGTGTATCTGTGTGCTCTGTGTATATTATTAAACACTACTCTCAAATATGTCTCCCTGTATGCGCTCATTCTCCTAACGGGGAATTACCTCAACAGTCCCTGTGAGATAAACTGGGCTGAAAAAGTGACTGGCCCAGCTGGTTTTTCATGCCTAAGCCAGGATTAGAACTCAGTTTCCTGGTTTCTAGTCCAACATTTTAACTATTGCAAAAACTGATTATCTAATGTATTATCTAATTTTATTAATAGTATCGTAGTTCCATGCCTTATAGAAGCAACTCAGGCCTGAAATTTGCAATACATTTAGATCTGCAGTTAATTTTTAATCATTTAATAGATTAAAATAGAAATAAGCAAAGCCCATAAATGTTCTACATCCTTTACATTTCTATGTAGTCATGAACTGTAGTTTTCAGGATCCATTTAGATCCTTTATTCTATAATCCAAAGAGTTGAATTAGGGAAGATCAAATGCATAGTGCAATATTTGACTCAATATCTAAGAACTTGACAATAAAACCATAAAATGATCTCTCTCCTTTCTACTTACATTCAGACATCTACAATGACCTCGTTTTAGTTTGCAAATCTCCCCATTTACTGTTAATCTTTCTTCAATGATGGACACTTATTGCCCTGAACACTTTGGTTGCCCTAAATGATTGAGTTATAACCATCCTTGGATTTCCACCTGTCCCAGTGCCAGATCACAATCTGGCTGCTTGGCACCGGATCCATACTTATAACTGGTTTTCAAATACTCCATGGTCATGTGATTGCCATTTGTAACCTTCTCTGCTGGCTTCCCCAGAAAGTCATTTGGGAAGTGAGCAAGGAAAGTCATAAGTCGCTTAGGTGTGTCTCCCCCAATCTTGGTGCTCGTGCCATGCCATTTGCACATACTGAGGCACCCTACGTGACACTCCCCATGCCTTCTTCACACACCCTCCCCAATCTATACTTGCACCCTCATCCCCCACAATATCTCTTGTACACATCCTCACACCCTCCCCACTCCTCCCCAGTGTGCATGATGCCTCTGGCACACACCTTCGTGCATCCTTTCCAATCCATGCAATGCTTCTTATCTAGCCCCTTGCCTCCCCAACCTCTACAGTACCTCTCGTGCATTCCCTTGTACCCTCGTGCACCCTACCTTTCCCTCATTGATGCACTGAGGTTGCACCTCTTGTGCAACCTCCCTAGTGCAGCACCCCTGCGCCTCTAGTGAACCCTCACCAACACTCCGTCCTCTGGACGCACCTGCCTGCAGGCCTGAAACTTGCAATACATTTAGATCTATCGTTCATCATATTAATAGCATAAAAGCACTGACTTCTTCACTGACAACTAAGACTGCAAGGATTGCCATCACTGAACAATTCAGTTGTGCTTCGTGACCACATTGCTTAGCAACAGAAATTCTGGTCCCAATTGCCCTTGTAAATTGAGGACTATCTGTATAGGCCAGATCAGAAAACAGACTCCAAGAATGTCTGGAACTGTAATTTTACAGGTTAGAGTAACCAAATCTTGTAAGACTTGACAGCATCTTTCCTCCCTCCCTTTCTTACTGAGGCGGAACTAATCTGAATTTCCTTCTCATATTTTCTTCCTGCCTTGGATTTAAATCATGTTTTTTTAACTGCAGTCACATAGTTTTTCCAAGTTTATAGCTGTGATTCTCTACAATTTCTGAAGAAAGGATGATACCTGAAACTTCCTGTTTCAATTGGCTGAGCTTGGGTTTATTTTTATTTTAAATATATACAGAGTGTACCAAGGTCCCATAGACCAATCACAATATTTTATTTATTAATATTGTTTTCTGGAGAAAATGTTAGTTCACTAAGAATGTTCAAATGTGATATATCTCAAAGAAGTATGCTGGAATAAAGTGGCAACCAACTCAAACATTTTATGTTATATAGTATATATAATAATTTAATTTCTATAGGGCCTGATTTTGTTTATGGGGCCTAACTTTTAGTACAACCTGTATATATTTAAGCTATTGAGTCAGATGATCCAACTACTTTTATAGACAGTTTTCTTATTTCCATTCTAATTAATGGATTTGTTGTTTAAACTTATTGTTGATATCCGCAAGAAGGCAAGTGATAATGTGTGTGATGACATTATGCAAACTTATGTACTTGCATTAGAAGTTTGGATGCAAATAAGTGTATCATTATATGATAATGTCATTGTATATCTGTCATCAGTTTGGCATCAATTTGCTGTAGATTCTTCAGAAAAAATATTGTAGTTCAGAAATGATATATTAAGTATTTTTCTTGTGTGTAAAATATTTGAAATAAATATTGTTACAAGATAAAATTGATATGACTTTAACACTTGTTTTAGAGATAATTTTCTTTTTTTTTTTCATTTTGCTTAGTTACAGTTTTCAGTTAGATTTGTATACACAACCATTGTACAATGTGTGAGCAAGGACATGAGCATCAATATTTTGTTGGAAAGACTAACAGAAATGAAACTTTCATGAACCAGATGCACAAAATACCTTTCTCAGATGGCAATATTATAGAAAATGCTGAAAGGAACAGAGTAAAATTTAGAAGTATTTACAGTGTAAAAAGCAAGAATTGGGATAAACTGAAAATATCTATAAACTGGACTGTTCTTTCCATCTCTTTTCTTCAGATGACAGAATCTGTTCTCCGCCATTTATGGAATTAACAAATGCATGTGGAGAAGACACCTTGAAGCAAATAGAAAAAAGTGGAATTGCATTCCCATTCAGTATGTGAACAGTTTTTATATTTTACTTAATAGTAAAGTTGTAAAGCATTTCCTCCACTACTACTGAAATCAATGCAATTTAGCTAAGTACATTTGGAAGGGAGGGTACTTGCATAGCAAGATAGCTTGTGGCTGGTGTACATGCTGGATTAGTACATTTGCTCCAAAGGTACACAGATAAATAATATAAAACCACATAAAATTATATGCTTTCTTTCTATTAAAATTATTAAAAATAATCTGTAAATCTAACTGTACCCTATTTTAGTTCTTATAACTTTGAAAATACAGTATTTTCTCATGGTGACAATAAAAGATGGCTTATTCATATGTTAACAGTCCTGGTAGATTAAGTCAGTGTTTCAGTGTTTCGTCTGATCCACTACCCATCCACTACCTAGAGGCCAAATACTTTCCTCAAATCTTTAAACAGAACATGAAGACAATACAGCTTTCTATGACAATCAGAATTCAGTAGCTAATGTTTTCATCCGCCTTTAAAATTCTGCAAAGACTATGTGTGCATATTGTGCATAAGGTCCTTCTTTCTGTAGTATAGTATGTTATTTTATCTTTTTCATTTTCTCCAGATGAGTTGTTCAGAGCATCCATTGTTCAGGATGATGCTTCTGTCACTCGTTTGATAGGCTGGGCTTTAATTGAGAGGACGCTCCTCCTTCTCCACGGGACTCCTCCCTAGCGTCCCCAGTTTTTGCTCAGCCTTCATGGATATAGGCAGCTTAATTTCCTTTCCCTTGGCCAGAATAGCAAAGGCTTCAAAAGGAGTCAACAAAAAGGCTTGCTTTTAAACTCTAAACAACTCCTTTAAGGCTTTTAGTTTCAATGAGTTAAGCAGCTCCCTATGATATATAACTCGAGACAAGGGAGATCACCGTAGCTTCAGATAATGATCTCTTGCCCCCAGGACGATCGGAGGTGATAACGCCTCAGCCGCATGGCTAACAACTCACATTACAATCTTTTCAAGCTGAGCCGCTACGATCGCTCCCGCTTACGCCCGATGGGAGAGGCTCTATTTTAAAAGGGTCCGAGGCTTTTTTCTCTCCCCTGGGAACACCGTCTGGGGTGGGGGCATCAGCGCCTATCTGCCTCACCATGCCTTTTTATACAAGGGGAAACTCTGCAGTATCGATTCCCCACAAGGCATGGAAGTGCTGCTGAGCCGATTTAACTCATTACGCGCCTAAAGAGATAACAGCTGGCGCCATTGCAGACTCACTAACCATGTGGTAGTGATCTGCATTTTATTTCTGGAACTGTGAGAGGCTTTTCTTTCCCCAAGCAGGGCTCTCCTTCCTGGAACCCGAGGGAAATCACCCTAATACATATGTGTGTGTGGATAGATAGATAGATAGATAGATAGATAGATAGATAGATAGATAGATAGATAGATAGATA